TAACATTTCTTACAAGGCTGGTCTGTTGTTGATGAACTCTTTAGCTTTTGCATATCTGGAAAACTCCTTATCTCTCCTTTAGTCTGAGTGATAACCTTGCCAGGTGCATTCTGAATATATTGTGCCACTCTTCTGGCCTTTAAAGTTTTTGCTGAAAAATCAGTTCATTGTCTTATGTGGGGGTTCCTTGTAACTAGTTTCTTTTTTTTTTTCTTGCTGCTTTTAAGATTCTTTAACTGTTGTTGGCATTTTGATTAACTAGTCTTAGTGTGAGTCTCTTTAGGCTCAATTTTTTGGGATTCTCTGTGCTTTCTGGACTTAAATGTCTGTTTCCTTTGCCAGGTTAGAGAATTTCTCAGCTGACAGATTTTCTGTCCCTTTCTCTTTCTTCTCCTGGGATCCCTATAATGCCAATGTTAGTTATACTTGATGTTGTCCCAAAAGTTCCTTAAACTATCCTTAGTATTTTCCTTTTTGCTGTTCCAGTTGGGTGATTTCCACTACCTTGTCTTCCAGATCGCTGATTCGTTCTGCATCACCTAATGTGCTATTGAATCTCTCCAGTGGACTTTTTATTTCAGTTACTGTATTGTTCAGCTCTGATTGTTTTTTTGTGGGTTTTTTTTTTTATATATACTTTCTGTTGAAGTTCTCGTTGTGTTCATTCTTTGAGTTCGGTGAGTATGTTTATGGCCATTACTTTGACCTTTTTACCTGGTAGATTGCTCATCTCTTTTGTTCAGTTCTTTTTCTGAGGTTTTGTATTATTCTTTCATTTAGAACATACTCTTTCTTCATTTTGTCTAACCCTGTGTTTCTTCGTATTAGTTAGATCAGTTCTGTCTCCTGGCCTTGAAGGGGAGTAGCTTTTTGCAGGTGTCCTGTGAGGTCCAGTAGTGCAGACTCCTAGTCACCTGAGCCAGGTGCCCTAGGGGTTCTTTGGGTTGCATGCACCCTCTTCTTGTGGCTGGGTCACTGTTGGTGTAGACTCAGTGGTTTGCAGGGCTGTCCCCTGACACAGCCGTCTGCAAGACTCAGCCACAGCTTCTTCACGTATGCTGGTAAGCAGGGCTGCCCATCATCCTGTCTGAGAGGTCCAGCCACTACTGTTGTTGGGTGGGTAAGTGTGGGGGGTTGGCCTCAGCACAGCTGGCTACAAAGCCCAGCTGTGACAGCTCCATTCCACTGGTGGGAAGGGCCTACTGTGTGGCAGACTGTGAGGTCCAGCTGCTGCAGGTGCTCTTGTATATGCAGGGCAGAGGCTGCTTGGTGGGGGTGGCTCTGGTGCAGGCTGAGGCCACCTGCTGGGTGTGGCAGGGGCAGGGAGCCCCTTAAGAAGGGCTCTTGGCCTGTGGGTCGGTTGGGCTGGGCAAGCTGGTGCTAGCACAGTAGATGGAGAATGTCAGAAATGGTGCCTACCAGCTCGTCCATCCCCAGAGAATGTTCCGACAGATCCCTGCCCTGCCAGCACATGCCCTAAAATCAGTCCATGCATCTCCTTCATGTGTAGCCCAGGCATTTTTCAAACTGCTGCCTCTGTGCTGGAACTTCAGCAACTGAGATTGTGCATAAACCTTGCTGGTTTTCAAAACCAGAGGTTGTAGGGGCTGGTCTTCCTAGTGTAGGGCTGGGAACCCAATATGGGGCTTGGACCCCTTGTTTCACAGGGAGAGTCTTTATGGTTGTGATATCCCTCCTACTCGTGGGTCCTGACTAGACCTTGTCTCTGCCTCCTACCCAACTCAGAATGGCTTTTTCTTTATATCCTTAGGTGTGTAAGATCTGTTTTGCAAAGTTCTTTACACAGTGATAGTTCTATATGTAGTTGTAGATTTTGGTATATCCTTGAGAGGATGTAAGCCCAGGATCTTTCCTACTCCTCCATTTTGATCCCCTTGGGCCTAGGGTCCTGTATTAGACATTTTAGACCTTGAAATCTCTCCCTTGGCTTTTGTGATCATCTTTCCTGATTTTCTTGTCTGTCTGACCACATCTTTCCATTGCCATTGCCCAGTTCTCAGTCCACTCCTTCAGGGCTAGTATTCTCGGTTTCATCCTTAGCTTCCTTCTCTTCCCACCCCATATCAGCCATTATAATGTTGATAAAGCCTAAGCCCATAAGCCCCCCCACCCCCCCCCGCACCACCACCGTCTCTTCTCAGCCCAGACCCTCTTGCTTGTCACTGATTAGTTTATCAGTATTTTTGGAATGATCAGGAAATAGGAAGTATAAGAAATGGGGAGGAGCTAAAGGAGTAAGCCACCAGATTACTTCCTACCCTAGGGATTTCTAGGATAGGGGCCTTCAGACTTCATTCCTGAAGTTCCTAGAGTTGTGTATGGTGCCTCTGAGAAAAGCAAAGGCCAGAGCTTGAACAGTTTTGTAGCCAGACTACTCTCTCTCTCAGAGCAGCTCGGTTTTATCTCTTATGTATATTGGGGCTACACTTAAGAGTTGACGGTAGGGAGATTCCATTGATAATAGAAAAGTTCAGATACCACTGATCTAGAAAAGTATCTTCTCTCACCTTTTGTTCGAGGAAATAAACGGTATCCCTGGCCATTTGCTTACAGAAGTTAATGTTAGACTTTTGTGAGGTCAAAGCAGAGAACTGAGCCTTGAAGGATCAAGTCACCCCTGCCCTTTGTTTTGGGTTCCTTCAGCAGGCATCACAGTGTTGAAAAGACTATAATAAAAAAAAAGACCCTTTCAGTGAGGACCGAAAAACCTTCAACCTTCCAACTGCAGAACTGCTTTGATTTCACTCCAGTCCTAGTTTGTGTTTTCCAGGTACTGTCCTTGCCCGCTGCCTGGTGTTTCCTCTCATCGTGAAGGGCCAGCGAGAAGCAGCCAAGATCCACAACCACTTGCCAGAGATCCAGAAGTTTTCCACTCGAATCAGAGAGGCCAAGTTGGCAGGAGACGATGCTGAGTGTGAGTCAGCTGCAGAATGCGCACAGGAGAGGACCATGTTTGCACTTTCCTGACATTCTGCTGAGGGTTGCTAGAAGTGGGCGAGTTCTAAAGATCTACCTACTTCTTGGGCCTAATGTTTCCAGTGACTGGCCAGGGTCAGGTAGAAATCTTATGGGCCAGGTGGTAAGGATGGTCACCTCCATCGATGTAATTATTAGCCCAACCATTAACTTCCCCTCATTCACAGTTTACAAGGCCTCCTCGGAAATGACATTTTACCAGAAAAAGCATGATGTTAAACTCTTTAGACCTCTTATTCTACCTCTGACTCAGGTAAGCAAAAACATTTTCCTTCTTATTTTATCCTACCCCAGTCAGATAAACTCCTGTGTTTCCCATGCCCTAGACCCCCGAAAAGTGGGGGTGGTGGTAAGGTTTTTAATGATGGAGTAATGAAAATGTCCCCTTTGCTAAAAGGTCCTGACACTGTTTATCCTGTGTAATAGGCCCCGATCTTCATCTCCTTCTTCATTGCCTTGAGAGAAATGGCCAACCTTCCTGTGCCCAGCCTGCAGACAGGTGGCCTCCTGTGGTTCCAGGATCTCACGCTATCTGACCCCACCTACATATTACCACTGGTGGTCACTGCTACAATGTGGGGTGTCCTTGAGGTAAGCCCAGGTTGGCTAAGTGCCAGGCCTGCAAAGTGGGGAGTAGAGACCAAGTAGAATTGATGGGTTGAAATCTGAGCCAGATTGTCTAGAAATGACGTGCAATTGCTTTTTTTTTTTTGGCAGTTAGGTGCGGAGACTGGCGTGCAAAGTTCTGATCTTCAGTGGATGAGAAATATGATCAGAGTGATGCCCCTAGCGGTGTTGCCCATAACTATCCATTTCCCCACGGTAGGTAATGGCTTAGGAGCTGGCTCCCAAGCCTTTCCATCTAGCCTAGCCATCTCCCATCAAGCTGACAGCAGAGGACAGCTCCTGAGTACTGTGTCTTTCTTCTCCTTCAGGCGGTGTTCATGTACTGGCTCTCCTCCAATACGTTTTCCCTGGTCCAGGTGGCTGGCCTCCGGATTCCAGCCGTACGGACTATACTGAAAATCCCCCAGCGTGTCGTGCATGACTCCAATAAATTACTTCCACGGGAAGGTTTTGTAAAAAGCTTCAAAAGAGGTAAGATGGGACTGTGGGGGAAGTAGTCTAAAAATGGACCTAGGACCCACTGTCTTCCTCCTCTTTACACAGGATGGAAGAATGCTGAACTGGCGCATCAGCTCAAAGAGCGTGAACGACGCATGCAGAATCACTTAGAACTAGCTGCCAGGGGTAAATAACCCTTGCAGGCTAAATTCCGTGATTTGTTTCTTCCTTTCCTTCGTTCATTGAAAGTTGTTTTCTCTTGCCCTAGGTCCCTTACGACAGACCTTTACCCACAACCCATTGCTACAGCATGGAAAGAATCAGCCTAACAGCAGCAATGCCAAGCCAAAGCAGCCCTGGCGTGACACGCTGGGCTGAATTCCATTCCTGTTCAGACTGGTAGGAGCTCTCTCTTCAAAGACTCGGCGTCAGAACGGATTTGACACGGAGTCCTTGCCCCAGCTCTAGAAACCGTGGGGTGTGGAGATCTTCCTTTTAAAAGTGGATTCCATTACAGACCCTCACACCTAAGAGTGTAAAAGAGCCAAGTGATCTTGCCAGCCACAGAATCAGTAAACCTCTAAACTACATGCTGCTTCCGGATACTTATTAAACAGGGAAACGGATGGTGCGCTTCAGAAAACTGAAGACTAGATCAGTTGGGGATTGCTCCTGCCTGTGCTCTTAGGAAGTGCCTCAGTAGTGTAACCTGGCATTACGAGCTTAAACTCCCACCCCCTACATGGGTTTATCTCAGGATGCTATAAAATAATTTTGCTAAGCAGCTTAGGTGTGTTCTCTTGTATAGAGATTGGCTGCATCAGCCACCAGCACGAAAGAAATACTCAGATACTTTCAAGCACAAGACTGTTTTTAGTGTTCCTCTTAGCCTGCTGAGAACTGTCCCCAAGACCTATCTAAAATGAAGTCACTCAAAGTTTACAACATAACCCTTTTATTATCTAGCACCTGTGACAGTTTCATGTCTCTCTAAAGGAGACAGGAAGTCCGGAGCATTATTGGCCCTTTTAAAGGAAAAGGAGTGGGTGGGCACACCCAGAGGTGAGCGACTGTCTTAACGCGTGGGAATGTGCTACTAGTAAAACCAAGCCCACACCTGACATGCTCCCCACCACAGTCTGTTCCAGATTTTTTTTAAAAGGGACAATAAAGCAATGTGTAGCAGAACAAATAAATTACTTTTCATCTCTCAAACAGCAAGTTCGAAAATTGAAGGCACCTGTCCCGAAGCCTGGTCTGAGCAGCTTCAACAAGGAGATGTACTTTTCCTTTTCATCTTCCTTGGCTCCAGCCAGTAAGGGACAAGATCCCCTGCTTTCCACATCTCAGGATTGATTCTAGATGGTATTTAGTTAGACTTGGGATCTCGGTGCTTGGGCATCTCTCCATCTTCCAAATCCATCTCTGCAGCAACGGACATACATAAGACCTGGAGGTACCATGTAGCGGATGCTACAAAGAGAAATGTAAGTCAGAACTGAGAAGAGGTCAGCTGAGCTCAAGTCAGGTGGCACTGACCGGGGCTGGCCTAAGGGATAATTCCCTTAAGCCTTACAGTCAACAACAGGAAGGGGCTAGGGCAAAGTTGATGCCGGCAGGTACCAGATGGGGGGTGGAGAAAGCCATAGGATTGCTCATCATCTTGAAGATCCAAAGGCTTACCCACAATCCTTCGGAGGCAGTGAGGTCTTTTGTGTTCTGGCACTCTGATGATGAGGAAGTAGAAGGGCAGGCCTGAGAGGGCGATGCCAATGCCGATGAGGGAGTTGATGGTGTCGCTGTAAAGTGGCACAGCTACCAGGAAGATGGTGCAGAGGCAGAAGACAATGGGGAAGAACAGGCTGAGCTGGAGGGCACAGAGGAGACAGCTGGAGGTGAGCTCAGAGTGGCAGCTATAGTAAGTGTCTCCTGTGAGGATCAGGGCACTGAGCCTTTCCATCCCCTTCATCTCCACACCCTACCACCCCTGAGGCCCGTGCAAAGGGAGGATGAAGCTAGAGTACCTTGAGGGGACGAGGCCGATTAGGCTCCTTCCAGCGCAGATAAAGCTGACCCACAATAGAGAGCCCCACAAAGAACCAGTAGCTGAAGCTGTAGTAGTTAATGAGCTGGAAGATGTCCTCCACACACAGGTAGATCAGTGCCATGATACCCTGCAGGCACAGGCCCACGTCAGCTCCTCTCACGGCCTGTCACTGGAGGCGCGCTTCCCCCTCTTTGGTCTCCCAGAGATCCAGCCCCTTCTCAAGTCCTCAGCGTCTCGCCTCTCCCCTGCGCCCCCCCCCCCCCCGCCGCCCCGATCCTCTTCTGTTCCCACACGCTTCAGCACCCGAGTTACAGCATCTCCTTCCTTTTCTAGTAAGCCAGGGGCGCCTCAATTGTTTTTTCAGGCCCATGCTTCAAACCTTTGCCACAGATCAAAACAATTCCTCACAAATCTTTTGCTGAAGAGCCTCTCCATAATGGCTCCAACCTACATTTCCAGGTTTTATCTCCTACTACCCAACTTCACATGAGCTGCTTTACCCCAGGACTTCGATACGGTTTGGGGGTTTTTTTAAATGCCTTTTATTTTTTAAGTAATCTTAAGTCCAACATGGGGCTCCAACTCATGACACCCCCGAGGCCAAGAGTTAGCATGCCCTACTGACTGAGCCAACCAGGTGCCCCCCCCCCATACTGTTTCTCTTAACCTAAAGCCCATCTCCACCTTTTGCAACCTAACCTTAAAAATCCATTTCAAATGTACTTTGTCTAGAGGCGCCTGGGTGGTTCAGTCAGTTAAGTGTCTGACCCTTGGTTTTGGCTCAGGTTGGGATCTCAGGGTCATGAGTTCAAGCCCATGTCTGGTTGCACCCTCCCTGAGGAGTCTGCTTAAAAGACCTCTCTCTGCGCCTCACCCCTGTGCACAGGCTCCCTCTCAAATCTTTTTTTTTTTTTTAAAGATTTTATTTGAGAGAGAGAGAGCACATGAGTGGGGGGAGGGTCAGAGGGAGAAGCAGACTCCCCGCCGAGCAGGGAGCCCGATGCGGGACTCGATCCAGGGACTCCAGGATCATGACCTGAGCTAAAGGCAGTCGCTTAACCAACTGAGCCACCCAGGCGCCCAACTTTTTTTTTTTTTTAAGAGAAGATAGTTTTTCTATTAAATTCTATAAGATTTTTGGGAAAGCTAGAACAGTTGCTTCTACTGGTTTCTGGTTTTTTAAGATTTATTTATTGGGGTGGGGGTAGAGGGAGAGTGAGCCTTGAGCAGACTCCACGCTAAGCGTGGGGCTCAATCTCACGACCCTGAGACCATGACCTTAGCTGAAATGAAGTGGGACGCTTAACCACGTGCCCCCACTTCTGTTAACATTTCCCCCGGTCTGGCTTTCAGCCCCATCCTTGAGGTCACTTACATTGAAGAGCAGAGCAGGTATTGGTGTGAACCGCTCAACATGAATCATGCAGATAGCATCAGGGAGATGGCCTTCTCTTGAACCCACAAAGAAAAGCCTATTTTGGGTAAGATGAGAGAGGCTGAGAAACTTGGGGGACACTGGGTGGGGCTGAACACATGCCTCGTAGCCCTCCCACTGCCCTCCTTCAAAAAAGTGAATAATAGGGAATGGGGTTCAGTTTTGAGATTAGTGAGAACTGGAGGCTGCTGATGGAAACAACAAAGGGGTAAATATGACTTGGGGAACACAGTGACTAAACTCGGTCCCGTAAGTCCTACCCTTCCCCGCCATAGCTCCTCACAAACCCCCCGTAAAAGGCACCACTCCTACCTAGAAGCAGCCACGATGGAGGCATTGAGGCCACCAAAGCAGGATAACGCAACCGCCAGCGGAATTGTCCAGTTGAAAATTCCAAAAATCTGGTCTGCAAAAGTCTAAGGGAAAGGAACAAAAACGAGTCATTAGCAGGATCTAAAAAGGATGCAGGCATGCCCCGAGATGGCCCCTAAACTAACCAACCCTTCTTCCTTCCACAGCTGGAGTGACAACCTTGTAAACCCAGTATCGGAAGCATACTTTTAAGTAATCCCTACACCAAACAGGGCTCAAACCCTAAACCCCAAGATCAAGAGTTTGCCCACTCAACCAACTGAGCCAGCTAGGTGCCCCTATGCATACTCCTTTCAAGGACTGCCCCCTCTCCAGGACTGGAGCTCCAGGGTTCCGAGAAGCCCACAAACACACCATCAGCCTTCTGCTAGTGAAAATCCTTTACCACAGCAACAGCATCACTGGCTAGGATGTCCCTCATGTCTAGGACGGTGTAATAGGCCACATTGGTCAAGATGTAGATGATGGTGACAATGGGCATGGAAATGCCAATGGACAGGGGCAGATTCCTACAGCCAAAAAGAATAATGCACACATTAGTCCCAGGGTCACATCCCCATCTCCTTTAATCCTCAGACTCCCACACCAATCCAGGGATGGGGCCGCCTGCGCGTTTCCCCAGTGCTTTTGCCTTTGAAGCTGTGTACAACAGTGACTTCATTCTTGAGCTCAGAGCTTAAAGAGCATCAAGGGAAAGGAATATCACATTTAGAAGAAACAGCAGAAAAAGGATTAATAGAGAACAATGTCACCGTGGAATAGCACAGGAAATGACAGGGGGGCAGGGGGGCTAGTGGGTTTTGGGGGGTTTTTTTACATCCAAGGTCTCTTGGTGTCAGGATTCCTTCTTAAGATTGCCAACATGGGAAATTTGTCTTTTTTTTTTTTAAAGATTTTATTTATTTGACAGAGACACAGCGAGAGAGGGAACACAAGCAGGGGGAGTGGGAGAGGGAGAAGCAGGCTTCCCGCTGAGCAGGGAGCCCGATGTGGGGCTCGATCCCACGACCTGAGCCGAAGGCAGACGCTTAACGACTGAGGCACCCCGGGAAATTTGTCTTAAGGTTGAGAAATACTAGAGGAAATTAGGCAAATTGTGAAATCCAGAGAATAAGGCCCTCACAAGAACAATGTGTGTATCCAAATAAGCAACCTGGGAACTGTGTTCACTCCATCCCCTTACTCAGTGTGAGAACCTGGGGGGCCATCCTAACCAGTGGCTAAGAGGAAAACACAAAGACAAGGTCCTCTAGACCAATAAAGCTCTGACCTTCATAAACATTCTTCACGGTGAGGGAGAGGGGACATACTCAAGTCATTTAGCTTCTGTCCAGTAGGTGGGAGCACCACCCAGGCTTCAGTCCTGCTTCTAGCATTTGCTCCAGGGACTGCAACACTGGCAGTGTGCCAAGAGGAGTTTATTATTTTGACTTAAAAATTTGCAGAAACTCCACTCCCTGGTAATCTTAGTTCCAAGAATCATTGAATTTTAGAGCCAGGAAGGGCTCTGGAGATCATATAATTCAACCCCCTCAATTTACAGATAAGGAAGCAGGCAGAGTTGGCAGGGGATTCAAATTAGTGGAAAGACAGGCTCCAGGCCCTTTGACTCCCTGTCCAGTGCTCTTGTCACTCTGCATGACGGCCGAATAATTTAGAATAACCAGGCTGAAGTAATACTGTTAAATGCTGACACAATACCGCTATGTCAGTACAAATTTGAGAAACCAGGAAGGGCTCAAAAAGAAAACAGGAAAGTTTTGGGGCATCTATGACCTAAAGTTATCTATGTGGGGATAAGGGTGGGTGAATATCAAGGAAAACCCATGAGAAAGCACACATGAACACACAGTACAACCTGCTGTAATGAATGCAGGAATGAAGGGACAGATGTGAAAAGGCCTGCTGTTATCCTGGACAATCTATCTCCCTGGCCTTCAGGCCTGCCATCTATTCAAGTGGCACTGATAAAATCTGTCTCAGTGGTTGTGGTGGGCTCTCTCAGTAAATGAGAGCTATCCTTATTGCCATGGAAGACTGATGGTGAGATACCTACCTCTCAGGATTCTTGATCTCTTCAGTGACGTAGTTGAGCGTGTCCCAGCCCGAGTAAGAGAACAGAGCCGAGTACAGTGCCAGGGCAATATCACCCATTGCAAATGATGAACCCTCAAAAGAATTCTCAAAGTGCGTCGAGGCTCCTAGAGTCCAGAGAACATGGAAAGGCAGAAGGATTAGTGGCCTACCCCCAGCTTCAAAGTGATCCAGAAAAGGAGTGGGAGAACATGACGCTTACAGCAAGTGAGTGGCTCAGAACACCTTCGGCAGCAAGGGCGCTGGTAAAAAAAACAGGGAACGGGAGAGAGACCTCTACAGTGATGGGCTGGAGTGCAGGGGACAGCACGAGGATCTTGACAGGAAGGACTGTGATGGCCTTCTAGGGTAAGAAACCACGGCGGAGCAGGCCTATAGAATAGAAGGGATGTGGTTCTGTCCTGCCCCATTCCGATCCCCTTTCTAACACCACAAACAGCTGGTACAGGATGGAGGAAGGATAGCGCTCCTTACGCCCAGGGCAACAGAGTGGTGGGGCAGGTGTTCCTACCTGGAAACTGGAGAGGAGTGGATACAAGGAGTTCATTTCCGCCCTTGCAGAAGAACTTCCAAGGGCAGAACAATCATAGCCACAGCACTGGGCTGGACTGTCAGCTAAAGCCAGCTCCCAGGGCATGACGGGAGTGTGAGATCAGCCAAGATCAGCCTCCTCTGGGAGCATGCAGAGAAGACAGGCTTTGAGGTCAGTCTGAGTACAAATCCCCACTGACGTACTAGGAGCTGGGGATTTGGGCAAGATACTTAGTTCTGCAGCCTCAGTCTCCTCTACAAAATGGAAATTATGGCATCTAGCAAATGAGAATGCACAAAGGGCATTTAAAGAAGTAGGACTCAGAAAATGCTCAAGAGTTCATTGCTCTCCCGCTTACCCTGGCCAAGTCTAACAATGCCCGCGATGATGACAGCAATCAGCGCCAACACTTTAGCATAGGTGAAGATATCTTGTACCAGCGTTCCCCACTTGACGTAGGCACAGTTAATGAAGGTTAAGAGACCTGAAAAAATAATTCTGATCGGTGACCAACCCTACCACCCAAAGAGCCTTAGACCCCCCCAAGCATTATTTCCAGTAGCAGTCATCTTTGGCCAAAGACAGTGTTTGGGCTCTGATGGGCTCTGTATTCAAAACCTCTGCCCAGCAGGTCCTCACCATTAGCATTCAAAGGCTCCCAATAAACTTCTGTGTGGGCAGCGTCACACACACCCTTTAGCACTTACCCGGGAGGAAACACAAAGTAACTGGATTTGCTTACATTCAACAGTGCTCACAGCAGTGGGAGGTAACCGGTAGCCATACAGGATTAGTGATGTTTTCCAGCTATTGGCTCTGAAAAGTCACCATCCTCCCAGCTTTTGCACCCCTCTACCTCCTGATATGAGCTCCAGGACTCAGCGCTCTGTGGTATTGTTAACCTTGCCGAATCCTGTTGTGACTTATCCAGTGCTGGGCCGGCAGGTCAGGACGTGTGGCCAAGGATTAGACTGGGGGCCAGACTTCCTGCTACTGCCTGCCAGCTCAGCCGCTTGTTTTTGTACTTGGAAAGATCCTTGGAGCCGAGGTTCCTATAGTTCCTATTTTTCCTGACCGGACAATGCAAAACAGTGAGCCACAAACATTCCTTAAGTCCTACCCTGGGGTAGAGGCAATCCCTTTAACCAGATGAGCTTTGGGAAAGTTCATGGATCACCCTGAGAGCCAGGGTTCTTAACCTAGGGCTTCCACAAGGCCTGAAATTCCTCGTAAATAGTTATGTACATATGTCCAAAGTATATGCATTTTTTTTTAAAAGATCCTATTTATTTGACAGAGAGACACAGCGACAGAGGGAACACAAGCAGGGGGAGTGGGAGAGGGAGAAGCAGGCTCCCCGCTGAGCAGGGAGCCCGATGCTCAATCTCAGGACCCTGGGATCATGACCTGAGCCGAAGGCAGATGCTTAATGACTGAGCCACCCAGGCGCCCCCCAGTATATGCATTTTTCTAAGAAAAAGGTCCATGGCCTTTGTCAGAATCTCGGAGAAATCCATTACCCCTAAAAAAGTTTCAATCCAGTACTTCAGAGGAAAGAAAATCAAGAAGGAAAGCCCAGATGCTGTGAGGTTGACCCCTAGCCCCAGGATGTGGCCGGGAAGAAAGTGAAAAGAAAGGATTCTGAGAGCCAGCTGAAGGTTCCAGATCCCGCACCGGCGCCTGAAGCGTGCAGGCGGGCACTGCAGCCCGCCTCCACTGTGGCAGCCCATCACCTCACTGAGCCTGCCTTCCTGGCTCAGCCACAACCCAGGAGGAGGGCTTACCAGTCCTTGCAAGAGCTCCAAGGGCAAGGTCAGAATCAGCCTGCCTTCCCAGTGGAGAAAGAGAGGTCTGGTGCTGGGCTTGCCAGCTTCAGGCCACTAACACAGGAAGCCTCCTCCTTCACTGTCCCTAATCCTCCTGTTGTCTTGTGTCCTGGTCTCACCACCCTGGCCCAGAAGCATCTTCATCCTGAGAAGCAGGAAAGACCAACCTCAGGGAGCAGCTGGCTCGTCTTCGGTTTCTGCCTCTTCCTCCTTTACACCCCTTCCTAGTCTACTGGCTGCCCAAGTTCTTTCCTGCTCTTCCCTAGACAGGGTATCCTACTCCTATACAAAAACTTGCCTTTTTGCCTAATAAACAAGACAATAAACAACCAAACCTGATCACAGGGCTGGGCAAGACTACGCCCGTAATTCCTCCGTGCTAAGTTAATAATTAAAGACACAAGCACACAATCTCCACAAGCACCCCACAAAGTGACCAAAGCGCCTGTATCTCACCTTCCACAAGTCTTTCAGGTCCGCTGACCCTCCGCAGTCAATCACCCATCCTTTACTCCCCACTGGACTTCTGTTTCCAGCCATTCAGTAGCCCTCATACCCCTTCTCTCCATCCTGTAACCCCTACGCCTCACCCTTGGACTCTGCTGCTGCCTCACAAATAGGACCCGGCCCAGGTTTCTGATTAGAAACGCCAGGGACAGGGCCTCCTGGGTGACTCAGTCGGTTAGGCGTCTGCCTTCGGCTCAGGTCATGATTTCGGGGTCTTAGGATCAAGCCCTACATCGGGCTCCTTGCTCAGCGGGGAGCCTGCTTCTCCCTCTCCCTCTGCCTCTGCCTCTCCCCCTGCTCATGCTTGCTCGCTCTCTCTCTCCCCCAAATAAATAAATAAAATCTTTACAAAAAGAAAAACATGAGGGACAAAAAAAAAATGGGGGGCACCTGGTTGGCTCAGTCAGTAGAGCATGCAACTCTTGATCTTGGGGTCCTGAGTTCAAGGCCCACACTGGGTGTAGAGCTACTTAAAAAAATTTAAAAGAGGGGCGCCTGGGTGGCTCAGTTGGTTAAGCGACTGCCTTCGGCTCAGGTCATGATCCTGGAGTCCCTGGATCGAGTCCCGCATCGGACTCCCTGATCGGCAGGGAGTCTGCTTCTCCCTCTGACCCTCCCCCCTCTCATGTGCTCTCTCTCAAATAAATAAATAAAATCTTTAAAAAAAAAAATTTAAAAGAAATACCAGGGACACCTGATGCTGCCCTCTTCACAAAGGAATGGGATCACCTCATTGAGATGGATGGGCCCAACACCAAGCCGGGATAGGCTGAAGGGACTAGTTCTGGATCAGAGTCAATCTGCAGCCATGCACCACAGGGATCTGCTCTTGGCTTTGTCCAGGCATGTGGGCAGCAAACAGACAACTCATCATCCTTTACTACAACAAATTCTGAAATGAAAATACATGGATCGTTTGCATTTTAATCCCTACTGCTTCGCTACTTGAATTCCATATCCATCCATTTGTATCCCTCCTTTGACCCGCCAGTTTTTCTCCCTCCCCCGCACCTGAGCCTTATTTTCTCAGCCACTGACCCACCATCTTGCCCTGATCTACTCTCTGTAGTAAGCACAGGGACTTGGTTTGAATGAAGAAGGGAATCCTCTGGAAAGAAACCAGGAGCAGAGGAACTGCCTGAAGAGAGCTGGCCCTCACCTTCTCCAAAGCCCAGCTTCCTCTGGGGCCTCTTGGCCACGGGAGCAGTAAATGGGTATGGCAGGCAGCGCCGCTGACTGGGCTCTTTGTCCTCACCCTCAGCAGACACAGCTGACCGGAGACCCCAAAGCCCGGCCTAGTGCACTGTTCTTAAGGTGGAGCCCAGCCTCCTGCTTCAGCAGCAGGGAAAGGAGGGGACCACGGGCTTAGAGTAATAATGGAGGCAACCGCAAGTCAACCTCAAGGACAGAAATGCCCTACCCTCCTACCGCTAGGTGTAACTCCATCTCCACCCAACACCGGGCCAAGTCCACAAGAAGACGGCCTGAAATCACCCTGGACCCTTGACTCAGGTGCAGCTCCATTCCTACTTTGACCTGCTTTGGAGGAAGGAGAGGCTTTGAAGAAGCCACTCCTACAATCATCTAAACAGATGCTCCCGAGGGGCGCCTGGGTGGTTCAGTCAGTTGGACGTGCCTTAGGCTCAGGTTGTGATCTCAGGGTCCTGGGATCTGGTGCCAGGCTCCCTGCTCAGCTTCCTGCTCCTCCCTCTGCCCCTCCCTCCAGCTCATGCTTGCTCTTGCTTGCTCTCTCTCTCAAGTAAATAAGTAAAATCTTAAAAGAGAGAGAGAGAGAGAGAGAGAGATGCTCCTGAATGGTCATCAAAGCCAACCTACATGGGCTCTCCTGGAGTAGGAGACTAGTCCTAGCACCAAGGCCCCAGCATCAGCTGTAGAACTAAAAGTAAGGAAAGCACACACACAGGTTGATCCAGAACAGAACAAAGCTTGCAGGCCCACTCCGAATCAGATGGCCAGATTTGGTTTAGAAGCCCACACTAAACAGTCCCTGAAAAAGAACATAAACCCCACAATTCTCCCAACATTGTAATTTTTTGGTTTTTGTTTTGTTTTTTTCCAGCACTGTTAGTTTTAAATATGTAAAATGTAACACATAAAACTTAGGCCACTCTTCAGTCTATTTTCTGCTTCAAATTCCCAGGGACTATAAAACCTCAGTACTTTATCTATGAGACAACCCATTCCATTTTTAAAAAGATCAATAGCTCTTCCTTCCATGAAGCCAAAAACTTCTTCTTCACAACTTCTACCCAGTAGTCCTCTCCTCTGGAACCACACAGAATCCGGCTAAATGTGCATCCACATAATGGCCCTTCTTATCACTAAAGATTAACATCCTGTCCCCCTGGAGGCTTCCGCCTTTGGGGCTAAAAACCCAGTTTCTTCAGCCTCCTGAATATGGCTTCCAGGCCACTCACCATTGAGATTCTCCCCTCTGCATCCACTTCACTTTGTCAGGATGTCCCTGAAACATGAGACCCACAGAGAACACTCCAGACATTTTTGCAGACTATGGGGTCTCGGTTTGAATTCACTGTCAACTACAATTCCACCTCAAACTGATGAGCATTTCCCTATACCCCTTTTGGGGCCTATAAAAATGATTTTTTTTTAAATATTTTTTTTATTTATTTATTTGTTAGAAAGAGACAGTACAAGCAAGGGGAAAGACAGGCAGAGGGAGAAGCAGGCTTCCCGCCGAGCAGGCAGTCCTATGTGGGACTCGATCCCAGGACCCTGGGACCATGACCTCAGCCGAAGGCAGATGCTTAACCGACTGAGACACCCAGGCATCCCAAAAGTGATTTTTTTTTTTTTAAGATTTTATTTATTTGAGGGACACCTGGGTGGCTCAGTCGGTTAAGCGGTTGCCTTTGGCTCAGGTCATGATCCCAGGGTCCTGGGATTGAGTCCCGCATGGGACTCCCTGCTCGGCAGGGAGCCTGCTTCTCCCTCTTCCTCTGACCCTCGCCCAACTCGTGCTCTCTAATAAGTAAAACAGTAATAAATAAATAATAAAAAGAAAAACAAAATCTTTTTTAAAAAAAAGATTGTATTTATTTATTTGAGAGAGAGCATGAGCGGGGTGAGGGGCACAGGGAGAAGCAGGCTCCCTGCAGAGCAGGGAGTC